CGGTGCAAAGGGTGGGGTGGTCATGTCCCTCCTGGGAAATGTCACTGCTCCAGGATGTCCCCAGGACGTGGCCAGCCCCGGGTGCAGAGAGCGGGGTGCTGGTTCCCCCAGCTCCCACCGTGCGGGGAGCAGGCCCTGATGGAGGCAGGGGTGGAGGGAGGCAGCTCTGCCTGCAGCAAGAGGATGTGCTGGGGTTTGGGGGGTCCGGCTCCGCTCCCCAGCCCTGCCACTGACCCCACAGTCGCACCGCCCTTCCTCCCTTCTCACTCCTCCTCCTCCCCCAGCGAGGGCTGAGCACCACAGCACCCCACTGGGCACCCCAGGGTGACCTCAGCCCTCCCCGAAGGGAGTTTCTGGGATGCGAACGTGGCAGCCCTGGGGCAGGAGCAGGTTTTTCGGAATGCCTTGGCCTGGGGATCCTGCCACGCCAGTGCTGCCAGGCTGCCAGCAGCAGACACCTCCTGCCCAGGCAGCGCTGCCCGGTGCCTTTCTCTGGCACCCACCCATGGGAGGCACCTGCCCCACGCCCCAGTGCCCTGTGAATCAGTCCCAGAGAAGGGTTGACAAAGGCAGCACCCAAAAAAGAACTCTCATCAAAACCAGAGGTCATGGGGGGGCGGGAGGGTGCAATGACCCATGCCACAACCAAAGTGCACATAGCACCTACATGACCGGGGTGCACGTAGCACGCTGCCAGCCGGATTCACAGGGCTCCTGCCACACTGCAGCTGCTCCTTGAAAAACCTGGGGAATGCAAGTTTTTTTTCTTTTACAGGCTTGCTGCTGTGGTACAACCTCTTGGAGGGCATCGCAGTGTCCCTTGGGAGGAGCAGGGACAGGGCAGAGCTCCCTGCAGGTCCCCAGGACGTGCCAGGGGCACAGTCTTTGCCTTCTCCCCCCAAAAGCCGCAGGGGCACCCGCTGCTGTCTGCTCAGGGCCAGCAGGGCCGGTTCCCATCCCTGCTGCTGTGTGCCCCATCACGAAGCTGCAGCAGCGGCATCTGCCTGGAGCTGAGGTGGCTTTTCCCGGGAGGATGCGATCATTCCCTGCACCCGGGCTGGTCCAGCGAGGCGAAACACGGCACAGGGAGGGCAGCCCGGGGCTGAGCCCCTCCCGCGTATCTCTTCCCTGGGGGGGATGCTCTGTGCTCAAGCAGCACAAACTGCTGCAGGCTGGGAAAGAGCAAACCCTTTGGTTTAAATACCATTTTTTCCCCCTGTAGCGTAGCTTGCCGTGCTTGGACACAGGCCTGCAGCATCCGAGCCGCTGAGGCTGTTCCTCAGCGACACGAGCGCCTCTGCTGCCCTTGAGCCAGCCCGCCTTGCAGGGAAGCCTCTGCCCTTTGTGCAGGTGCAGCTTTTTTTTCTGGAAAGCAGCCGAGCGGTGCTGCCCTTCGCAGGACCGGTGAGGTCCTCGGAGTCCTGCCTGCACTGCAGCCCTGAGCCACAGCTTGCAGCCGGGCGAGGAAGACCTGGGTTTGGGGAAAGAGGGAGGAAGAGCCCTCTTTTTTGCCTCACAGCTGTGAACTGGACGTGGAGCAGGGCTGGACCAACCATGAGCACCCCACCAGTGACCCCAGGTTTTTTTTTTTTTGTCGTGTCAGTGTCTGGGACATTTTCCTGAGAGATCAAAGATTTTGGTGCGCAGCCAAGTCACAGATGCTGAAGGCTTGGTGCCCCAGCTGCTCCCATGGTGACGGCGACGTTGTCAAGGGAGAAAGTGAAAGGTCACATCTCTGTGGCCAAAATTGGAAAGCAAAGTCCAGAGAAAGTTCCCATGTGTGTGTGGACAGCAGCAGAGCACCAGCCAGAGAGAGGGTGGGGGGGGAAAAATCATATGGGTGAATCGGTGATGCCTGAGCACCCGTGCAGCCTGAGAGCTGGTGGGTTCAGGGGGGGATGGGACCCCCCAAAGCCAGGCCAGGGGGCTTGAATGGCCTCATCCTGCGAAGGGTCTGGCCGCTGCCAGCACATGCAGAGATCCGGGGCAGGCATGGGGCCCCAGCAACAAGCACAGATGGGTTTTCCAGTCCATTAATAGAGGTCTGTAAACGCTCAGCCTTACTGATCAATACGGTTTCTATTTCAAGGCTGTGAAACAACAGTCAGAAACGGAGCAAAGGACGTTATTTAAGCATCATATGAGAGAGAGAGGGCTCGAGCCAGCCGGGGAGCACCCAAGCTCAGCATTGGTTGGAGTTAACCATTTGCAGCCCCTCAATTACACTTTAACATGCTTTTACCTGTTCCATGCTGCTGGGAAAGGCTGGCGCCCAGTTGCCCTGTGCCCAGCTCCGGCCGGGGCCGCAGTGAGCGTGCGGGTCCGGCT